AGAGAGAGAGAGAGAGAGAAAGAGTGACTCATCGATGAATAAAGGGCGGCGATCTCGCTGTGCTCGGGGGCGGCATTCTCAGAACGTTCTCGGGCTTTTTCCTTCGCCGAGTGCCGAGTGACCCCCGACGGAATTTCCGCGCTATTCCTATGATGGACGATTAGTTATGATCGACCCCGGCGTCGCGGAAGTGACGCAAAGTACATGTGATCTCGCGTGCCAACAGGCACGCGACTCGGCGCGATGTTAGCGTCGCCGGCTGACGACGCGATGAGAGTGTTCGGGCGCAGCCAGGCGACCGACGAGGAGACCAACGACAGGTGATTATGGGCGGATGTGCTCTCGACGATCCCGGGAGATCGCGAGACGCGCAATTTTGCAAGACGGGAACGAGAAGGAACGCGAACTCTGTTCTCTCTCTCTCTCTCTCTCTCTATTTCTCTCTTTATTCAAGTCGGCGGGGGGAAGCCGACATTCATCGGTATTTCGCGCGCGCGCCCGAAGCGTGAAATCCACGAAATTGCGGGCGCTCGAGTGCTTCTCGTTTTCTATCGCGCGACTTAGACGTTGATTAGATGCTTCTAATACCTTGTTTCATCTCGCTGCGAAATTAGATCCCGCTGGCGCGCGCGATATCCCGTCGTTATATACACACACACACGCTACGCATACTATATAGACGCTGTAACGCGTCTAATTCTATTAATATTGCGGTTGGTGCTGGGTTCTCACCTCGCTCTGGAAAAATGCGCGCATTTTTCCCTTCTCATTTGCAAGCGTCGCGCGGTGCGACGATTTGGGACGCGAGCATTTTTCTTGAATTTACGTGGCTCCCGTTTTTTCAGGTGGGAACCTTTAATTTTGGCGGAAGTGTCGGAACGTATAGCGCGTCGTTGCTCATAAACCGCGTGTGTGTGTACCATTAATTGCACGGTGCATTAAACCGTCGAGACGGAAAATGGCTTCTTATCCCGGAGCATCACAGTAATGCATTGTGCCTTTCGTGTAACGTTGCTTGCTATTTTCGGTATCGCGTTCTACACAACGCGCGTTATACTTCTGCAAAAGAGAACACGGCAAATTTTGTGAAAATTTCAATGTCACTTAGCGATTTCAAAGTGCAAATTCTTCCGAGCAAATTGTTTCGGTCTCAATTTGGGAAAATTTCGTGATGCGTAGGGGAACCTTTGGATTTTGCTGAACATCTCGTCAAATGAAAGAAAAAAAATCAAAACGTTCCTATGCTAATATCATAGATTTTAATAATATATCTAACCAGATTGATCAAGTTAAAAAATAATAATTCTTAGAGTAATTTACATCTTGATAAAACAATCGAAATATACCAAATGTCCCTCTGTTATGGGAGACTTGATCCAGGCAATTGTCGAAGTGGCATTTAACGTTCCCTATAGTTAAGAATGAATTCTGCAGCTAACATAAAAAAGAAATTAAAAATCTCTCCATTGTCGAAATAATGGCTTAAAAGGGATAAAGGAATAAAGTCTTGCGAAGGATCAAGTGTCCTTAGATTCCCCCAATCACCGTCCTTCAGCACGTTGATTTCTCAGCTCAAATCCAGCGGCACAAAGAAATGCATCCATGCCGTGCGAAAAGAGGACATTTTTATTTTTATTTTTTTTCTTAACGAATTTTATCTCTTTCGAAGATCCACGAGTCGAAATAACGTTTATCGAATAGAAACCGAATATACTTACTCATGTTTATTTGATATGGGTTGAATATATTACCGGCTATATACCGGCAGCCAATGTGCATTAAAAGTATGAATTCGGAGATAAATTCTCCGATCTCATTTCACTGAAAAACGTTCGGAATTAATTCCGGAACGGGACGGAAAGTGCAGATAGCGCTGGATATGAAACGACAAGGATTTTATTCAAAAGAACGCGCGTGCCGTTGCGAGCCGCAACTTTAACGACGCAGATTTAACGAGATCTCGCGTTTCGCGATCACGCAGTTCGCGACGACACGCGAGGCGCAAAATGCGAAAACTAAATGCAACACGAATTATCGGTATGAAACGGGGAGCGAGCATGGCTTGTCTTTTTTCCGTGAGAGCGAATTTCAGCGCGAAATTCGTGGTCTTCGACGGGGATTTATCGCGATCTCAAATTGCGCGACGTAATGAGGAGACATTCGGGGAAATAAACGTCGCTCGCAAGATTGAATTACGAGGTTGCGGAAGCGGGGGAGAAAGAGGTAAAAGCGACGATGCCACGGGGGCACGCAGCACGAGCGAATTACGATGCGAAAAGTCCGCGTTCCAGATAGCGCGAACGTGCAACTCACGATTCCGGTTCCCGAATTCCGACCGTACGACGCGTAACTAAGCGTCGCAGAACTCCATGTAGGAATCGTATACATTCGGCTAACATTGGGGAATGGCTAAGTACTAAGTTTAGTATTGACTTATCTAGATTTCACGTTAAGGGGATGCTTGAAAACTCGACCGACAGAATGCTGACTTTTTCCTGCAAAGTTTACCTCTTATTGGTCACGCAAAATCATCACAAATATTTCTTTATAGCGAAAGTACGCGCGAAAATGAATTGAAGCATAGTCCGATATCTGACGAAGACGATAAAAAATTTCAAAACTGAATTCTCGATCTGTCAAGTGGAGCAAACATTTAACCGAAGCAAAGATTTTGCTTGTACGTATCGAGTGTGCGTTTGCTCCAATAAGGGAAATTTCGAAGAGCATTTCTATGTTTTCGCAATTGTACATAAAAGTCAGTTACTTCGTCAGCAGTTGTTTCCTACTTGGGACGCGAAATAAACGCCAATCGGGATAATGGGAGAGCGGGAATAGGGTGGATTAGGGAGGGAAACGACCGAGGCCAAAATTACGGCATGTAACGAAGCGTTAAGATGACCGGTCCGGATTCGAAGTCCGTAATCAAAGGTGACCCGAGAAACAAGTACGACGAGGACGTCGCGCACGAGAGAGTCCAGTCGTCGCGAAAATCCCAGGACGGCGTGACTCGATAAATGCGCTTAACTGGATTCACCCTCACCGTCGTCCATGTGGCTTTTTGTCTTTCACACAGAAGAAAGAACTATCAAATTTAACTTTGACAAAAAGAGAGAGGAAAGAGTGGGACTCGAAGTTTCGGCTCATAAGCGAAGGCAGAAGTCAGTTACACGTGTCGCGGCACAAAGTTATCGCCGGGGGCGATAAAGAGTCTCAGGTGTCGTTAAAGTTTTTTTTGTTTATAACTCCGTACCATCCAAGACGAACCTCGTCGTGTCTTCGTTAAACAGTCGAGTGGTCGAATGCGTCGGGGGACAAATGGCTCCCGTTAAAATTTGATGCGTCGACGATGATCCGCGAGTATTTTTAAATACAAGGATCATCACCCCGTTAACACGGCGAAAGCTCTTTCGCCGCTTATAAAAATTGACGAGGAAGATCCACTTCGTCTCGGTAATCCACGGTCGTCCTCGTCGACGTTCAGTCAGCGTAACAGTGTTCGACACGTCGCTTCTACAGAATTTCATCGCCGGGAACGAAAGAGCGACCGGTTAAATTTTATAATGATTAATTAAAGAAGACGTGATCGTGGCGTTTTTGTGCGACTACATATCGATATACGATAATTATATCTGTCCGCGACGCGTTGGCGAAATAACCGTGAAAGCCAGGGCGCGACCAAGTTTTAATGAATTATCGAGCGAAATTTAACTTTACCGATACAACTTTCGAAATGCATTGGGGATTAATGCGATAACAGGTGTACGTAACAGCGAGAGCGGGCAAAGCCTTGATGCGAATATCGCCGTTATGTTTTATTCATCCCACCGTCGATATTTATTTTTCAACTGTCTCGACCGGGATGCAATTCGGGCGAAAAGTAATTTGAAGCGTCAAATTGCCAGGGTTAGAAAATATGACCGAGTCCTCTCTCCCGATCATCAGATATGTATGAAGGACTATTTCCTCTTTTGACATTTCAAAGACTTTATATTCATGGTTCGGCTCCGAGAATCGAATTTAATAAAAGTTTCAAGGCGGATAATCGCTCGCTAATTGATTTTCAGCGTTAAGTACCTCCGCAATTAAACGTCGCGTTGAGAGAAGTTCTAATGTAAAGTCGCGCATGTGTATACCAGAGGTCGAAGTTTTGATTCTACATTAACCCTACAAATTACGTTGAATTTGAAAGGCTAATGGAGAATTTCAAGACGTAACGATATTTTATACAAGTAGTCACTTAGTTTTCTCCGCATTGAAGCTTAAAGGAGGACTTGCCTTTAATAAAACTTCAGGTCCTGTAAACAATTTCAGATAATAGAGAATGGATTCAGAATTATTTAATAGTCGATTAATTCGATATCCCGTCGGCATTTAATCTTCATTCTCAACTTCAATGAGCAATGCGCTCATTGTGCAATTTGATTAACTATGAATAGAATATGTACGATAACTAAATGCTAAATAATTTAATAAGTATAAAAATGCGTAAATATAATTAATATGCGAATAAAGGGGCAAACTTCTTTATAATCTGTAATTTGTTACTTTTTTTATTGACGTTCGTTTTTTTTGGAAATTTTTATATGATTTGGATATTCGAAAAAGATGAAAAAAAAAGAGTTGCAAAGGCAGCGATTATGCGAGTATGCATAAAACATCAATAGAGATTTAAATTCGATATAAGAACGTGGATAAACAGAAGTGTAAAGGAGACCGGGCAGAAAATTGATTCACGATGCAGTGAATCGATTATCGCGTCTGAATGGTCGCGTTATCGACCTTGCCGGCCTGGCCCGGAATTGACACGAAGGCCGATCGGAGTCCTGCGGAGTAATTCGATCGCGTTCAGCCAGGCTCAGGGTCAAATTTAACCCCGTTCTCAGACACGCAATCATTTCGGTGGATATTATATTTTCGCGACATTTCGTCACGACACCGGCAAAACGGGCGAGTAATTAATCACGCAAATTAATTATAAATAGGCTTGAATTCAAACTCACCAAACGAGTCACCGTTGCATATTCGCTCTTGCATTCTCGCTGCTGCGTCCTTGTTGGATCCTCCTTGTCGCCGTTGGATCCTCGTCGTCGATTCCTTGGGTTCCCCTCGTCGGATCGTCGTTGCGTCCTTTTGCACCGTCACACTGTTATAATATTGCACCGTTAATGTTCTCGGATATTTCGAACGAAACTCGATCGGAGAATCGCGGCTAATCACGATCGCGCACAATTAACAAGATATCACTATGCATCGCGACAGAACCGAAGTTCCGAAGTAAATATACATTCGCAAATCTCTATCTCTGTCCTCAACGAATTAGTGTCAAAAGATTTTACGTGTCAGCCGTATGCTAAAAGCTGAAATATTATCACGAACGATATTCGTGGAGATTTTATATCGACGATGGTGACATTTTATAAAAGTTGCTTAGAACATTTCACACTGACTTACGTGCCATTCTACGTGTCCTTCCCTGCCGACAGAGTAAACTACTCGACGGCAGACCAACACAAATGTTTTTGTATACACACGCGGCTATTGTCCTCGAGCGGTCACGATATACATCAGACTGTGTTTATCGTTTGAAATTATCCGGAGGCTAACACAGATTTAGTCAAGTCGCAAACAGAGATGTAAAATTAGCCGTTGGACTCAAAATTATGATAAAATTGCGGTAAGATGGTAATTTTGGTTAAATTCGTTACTTTGAGATTTTCATGTACAAAATAGATAGTATTTATGTTTTTCGCATTAATGCATACAATCATTTCAAATGTACGTATGTGTGATAATTTCTTAAATGTCTTTCAAATGAAAGCTAGGAAACTATTTGTTATCTTCCGAGGATATTAAAGTTATCATTGTACAATATCAAAATATTTTATTGAAAATATGAGTCAAATACAGTATTTTACTCATTTTAAAGGCTAAACGCTCCTTTTGAGCTTTCTATCAAAATTCTCTTATTTCCGTATTTTCTTTTTTCCAGATCCGGCTCGCGGGCCGGTGTGCTTCCGCTTTTTGAATAACAAACGAAGCACGTCACTTTGAAAGAACGAATTTTGGGGAACGGATTTATTCTCGATGCGCCGCTATCCGAGCGCAATACGACGTACCGTGCGGACGTCGCAGCGCGATTTCCACTTTCCGCCGCCGCACAGTAGCGAACTCTACATGGAGGTGTTGAAAAAAACTTCAAAATAGCAGTGAACATAACATAAAAAATGATTTCCAAGATTACAGGTTTCTTCCGCATCACCTGTGCCCCGGTTGGGGGATTGTGTATACGGGGGGGAGACGGATATTTCACGAGGCCGAGGTAACAAATCGATTTCTCGATCACCGCGTCGCAATCGCCCGGGGGACGACTCCCCCGCAATATTATGGGTCTCATCGATTATGAGACGTGAAAGGAGGAGAGCCTGAGGGAGCGTGGCTGGGGAGACCATTTCACACGTTTCTTTGTAGCATCTCGTCGAGAGAACCGAAGTAGAATATAAACTGGAACGAACCTCTCGATCTCTCCAACTTCTGCGTGCCGACGGCGGCTACCGGCGAGAAACACTCGACACAAAAGATTGTCAGTCAGGGAGCCTTTTAAGAAAGTCCATTCGAAATCCTTCTCGTCCCCCCGCCAATCTCTCTCGAAATCGCCCAAGGGTCTGACCTTTATCTCGATTTTACAACTGGCATAATAGTTGGGGGGGGGGAAACAGTTTCTTTACGGCTAATATAAACCGCGGATATCGCAGCTCGTGATCTGGGCACGCCACTCAACGGCCATAAATTTTTTATGAGGCACGGCAACTTCCCGTGTCGTAGTTGTTTAAAAATCACAACAGGGGCTCGTAAAAAAAAAAAGAAAGGGGAAAAACACTACGGAAATGGATTTCTAATTAATTAAAAACATCGCTCGCGTCTCTCACCGTTTTTTTCTCCCCCATTGCTGGTCCATCGATGGGACGCGTTTCGCGGGATATGAATAACACGAAATTTCAAGAAACCTTTTTGCACCGACGGGAAAATATTTGTCGCCGATATCGCGCGATGTCTGATATCGTTCTGATATCGCGAATCGTTTCGCCGAGAGTGTTCGCGGACGAATCAACGATTCCTCGGAATACCAAAATTATTCGCGATTCGCGAAAACGTGCTCCCTAAAATGTAGTATATTATCGTAGTTATAAATATGGCTACTGAAAATCGGTAATATCTCGCCAAAAACTCTGGTCCTAAGTAGAAATCCATATGGATTCCCACATGAATTTTCACGAATCATGTATATTTCTGCGACGGGGCGCGTAACAGCAGATTTGCAGTGAATCTTTCACCAGTCAAGATCAGCGAAGCATGAGACGGCAGAGCTAAACGGAAATGTCTCTGCTAAAATTTAATTAACACCCACTGATCATCGTAACTGCAATGCTTTATCGATTCAACCAATGACATTTCCACCGACTTGAAAAAAGTGGTCGGCGCCACCGGCGCTCTTTCCGATGCGCGCATGAAATTTCTTTCAAAGAAGTGTCACCCACTCGATCGACGAAACACTTTCAATCGCCGCGAATAACCCCCTCGTCGCGCTCAAATTATTCATTGCGCGCGTTCACGTAATTCAACCGTAATCGCCCCGGCGGATATCTTCGTGCGCGGCTCCTAACAACGGAAGCGAAGGCACCGTCCTCGTGAGGTCTAAAGCCGCAATTTACCACTGGCTATTGCGGCAGCCCTTATTCCTACGTAACATAGGCGGATTAATTATAGCCCGTCCAATTAAACCCGCCAAGGCGGAGATCAAAAAGCCGGAATTCGCGGATTCCCCGCGAGTGCGAAACTTCGTAGCGGTTTTCCTCCCTCCTCTCCCTCTTCGCGCCGGAGCGCGTCTCGAAACAAGAATATACCGTAGTGAAAAGTTCGAGTTTTGCCTAAGATGAAGATCGTTAAGACGGAAATACTCTTAAGTAAATTAAACGCGGCTCTTTCAGGGCTCTTGGAGCGATGCTATTCGCTACTAGCCAGACGGAACGTAAATTACGACTCTTTCCCCGACAAAGATATCCGCTTATCCTCCATCTCTCTCTCTCTCTCTCCCTCTCACCCGGGAACGTTTAATTTATAACTCTTTTCCCCGAGCACGCTAGAAACCGTTTATGATCGCTCGTTAGCGGAGTTAATGACCGTAATCGGTCCTAAAGATAGCACGCAACGTTCGGCCGAAATCAATCTGTTTCCTGCGCGCGGAGACGCGTTGATAAACAGAGCGACGGGCGGTGCGCGCACCCCGTCACGTCTCTCGTTAATATCATCTCTTCCCCACGCGTTTGCGTTTATTTTCCACGAAAGCGCGCAACGGAATAATGAAATTTCGTTCTCGAGCGGATCGTGTCTCGCGCGCGATGGCACGCATAAATTTTTCCAGTCGCGCGCCGTTTAGAAATACATCGCGGTCGCGTCACCACGCGGAGGTTCGGGGGCTAATTATTTCATTCGCGATAAATGACGCAGAAGCGCGGGATTATCGTTATTATCGCCGCAGCGTTATTTATCAGCGAGCGGCTGAAGGGAGATGCGGCTAAATTGCACCGCTCGGGCGCGGTTTATCTTCTTTCGCCACTTCGCGTCTCGCTGACAGCACAATTAACGATTCCGTCCGATATCATCGGACACGTTATTGTCAATTTCATCGTTAATTTATATTATAATTCGATACGTTGTGTCTCATTGTACAAAAAGTGAGTACGCGAATACCGCACCGTCGATGTCGATAGTGGCGCGTTTGTTCGTTAATTGAATTAATTACGCTGCGAAATAAAAGTCATCCGTAGATAACGAACTGCCTTCTCCTCCGGCCCCGCGAAATTAATTCTTCTCGCGAATTTCTCGCCGAAGTGCGATGCGTTCCCGGGCGCGACCTCCGCGACTTGTACGCGGTTTGCGTCGATACCGATTCAATTATTCCATATGCCAATTCTGCTGATACTCGTCCCCGTAACCCCTGACAATTGATAAGATCGATCGAATCGCGTGGAATTAATTGCTACCGCTGTTGTTAACCGCGCGATCGCGCGCAGAAACGGCGGTAATTAGTGCTCACAACGGCGGACAACGCGAGCGCGTCGTTATTATCCGCGATTCGTGCCGATCCGCGTCGATGCACTTAGAATCGATGCCTGTTGAAATAACGAAGTTACAGCGGGGCGAACGATAAGTCCGGCGTGATAAAATATGTGAACATGCATTCCCTCGCGAATACACACACACGCGCGCATAAACATTTGCACAGCGCGATAATGCATCCTGTGCATCGTTACGAACGACGAGAATCTTGCAGTGCGGATCGATCACCTTTAACATGTTAAACCTGCCGTTTCGCGGCGGAAGTACGAAATATCCGCCGTGTTTTTGCGTCCCACGCGCTTGTTCTAATGTAACCATTAACGCCGGTTGACATTGACATCGTTAATCTTTTGGCACTTATTTGGTAGATTCGTGGGATGCCAGCATCTGTTAAAGTCCATATTGAAAGAAGGACTTGGTAACTGCCGGTAAATAATGTTGGCCACAAATCCAGCGAATATTAGAAAATAATTTGATCAGACAAAGTAAATATATGGTTATATTTTATTATAATACCTGGTTCCGAGAACCAGGATTTAGTTGTTTGAATTGTACATTTAAGTCATCAAACTGAACTTTAGGAATAAATACCAAATCTTGATGGTACTTGATAAACATTACTAAACATATAGTCCCTTTGATCAACTGACTTCTACAAGGACACGTTATAAGCATGAGCTATGCAGGCAGCATATCATCGTAGGACTTGTCATTTTCCGTTCGATCATCGAAGTTAAGCACTGAAAAGAAAGATTTGAAAGTTTATTTGTAAAATATAAAGTTTATTTCACAGAGAAACAACCCTTGAAATAAACCTTATATTTCACAAATAGATTTTTAAGTATTTTTTTCCTCAGAGCAGCGCGGATTACGGCTAAGAAGATAAGTGGACACTACGAGATGGAGTCCACAGGGAAATTTCACATATGAAGTGAAAAGAATGCATCGGAGTGAAATAAAGTGTCAAGCTATTTCAAGACAGACCGAGAGAGAGAGAGAGAGAAAGAGTTAACATAGAATGATAAAATTTTTTTAGTACAATGAAAAAATTACCTAAAAACACTTATTACTCGATATCACGTTTTTTCTCTGAAAACGAGATCTCTATAACATTTGCATACGACTGTGGTTGACATTAAAATCTTACCAACACCTTTCGGATATTTCCGTGATATTTTGGCAATCAGATATTTGGGCATTCCAATATTTTCCAGATATATTTTGTGATATATTTTGCTGTGTGAGACTATATGTTTTACGACTATTGTAAACGGCCCTTTGTACGTGCGCAGTGACTCGTAACGACATACATACACATACACATACATATTATTGTTATCAGAAGGTTACAAAATAGGCATACTGGAAAATGTCGTCATTGGACGAATTATTAACCGGATCATTTTGAAAATTAAACAGCGCATTAAATTCCAAACGAAGGAGAAAGTTTAATTTTCAAAAGGTAGTAACGGGTTTGATCGGGATACACGATACGTATATTTTGGTATACCGATGTGCATGAATCAACCCTCGTAATTCAGAAAGCGATTCCTTCGACTCGCAGTGAAACGTGCTTTCGC